TGCCCCAAGGTTAGTGTCCCAAGACTACTGTCCCAAGACCAGTGTCCCAAGGCTAGTGTCCCAAGACTACTGTCCCAAGACTAGTGTCCCAAGACTACTGTCCCAAGACTAGTGTCCCAAGGCTAGTGTCCCAAGACTACTGTCCCAAGACTACTGTCCCAAGACTAGTGTCCCAAGGCTAGTGTCCCAAGACTACTGTCCCAAGGCTAGTGTCCCAAGACTACTGTCCCAAGGCTACTGTCCCAAGGCTAGTGTCCCAGGGCTACTATCCCAAGACTAGTGTCCCAAGGCTAGTGTCCCAAGGCTACTATCCCAAGACTAGTGTCCCAAGGCTACTGTCCCAAGACCACTGTCCCAAGGCTAGTGTCCCAAGACCACTGTCCCAAGACCACTATCCCAAGACCACTGTCCCAAGACCACTGTCCCAAGACCACTGTCCCAAGACCACTGTCCCAAGACCACTGTCCCGAGACCACTGTCCCAAGACCACTGTCCCAAGACCACTGTCCCAAGACCACTGTCCCAAGACCACTGTCCCAAGACCACTGTCCCAAGACCACTGTCCCAAGACCACTGTCCCAAGACCACTGTCCCAAGACCACTGTCACAAGACCACTGTCCCAAGACCACTGTCCCAAGACCACTGTCCCAAGACCACCGTCCCAAGACCACTGTCCCAAGACCACTGTCCCAAGACCACTGTCCCAAGACAACTGTCCCAAGACTGTTAACAAGTGTCTGAGCTGTGGGGCCTTTTTCTTCTTTGTTGTAGGGACTTCTTGATTCACTGTACCTTGTACCACCACTCAAGCTCTAGTAAAAATTTTCCCAAAAACCCTCTCTTAAAGGCCAAATGCTGACCCCCTTTTTTTAGTTACCTCTTTTTCAGTGTTCCAGGCACCTTGCAACCAAAATCTGTGTGCAGGTATCTTGTGATCACCTGTTCGTACAAAAACCAAACACAAATCCTCACCAAAATGCAACAAAAAATCTAAGCAAGAAAAAGTAATAAAAACAGAGAGATGAACCCACCTAAAATTCAAAGTTGACGAATGTCAACCTTCTATCGACAAAAATGTCTGGTACCTAATTGCCACGCGTTTTTCTCCCCCCAACTAATGATCTTATTGGGTATCACCAGAATTGTCTATGTCCGTTCCCCCCTACCAATCCAACCAGCGTACCTGTCTTAACTCGAGTTTAAATTTGGATATCCACCTAATATTACCAACGCGTGTTAATGACCAATGTAACTAAATCAACGATGTCGATTAATTAGTTACTCTAATTTCCCCCCTTTTTACAATTTGCTACCGCTAACCTCTAACCTAACCAGCCCCCCTTCTAACCTCCCCCCCTTTTTAGCCCCCCTTCTTAAGCCTAAAATTACCTTAAGCGCCGGGTGCTAAACCTCTCAAGAGAAAACCGTAGACCTGTCTCCAGGCCTGCTCAAGTAAAAACGTTCGTCAAAACCGGGGGATTTCGCTTATCCAATTTTACACTTATCTCCTATAATGTAATGTGGATTTTAACGATACCCGTTCTGCACAGCTTGAGAACTCGAGAACTGCCAAATCCTTTTTGGCTGCTTTCCCACTCGACTGGTCACCTCTTCCAGTCCAGTCTCCTATTGGTTCAGCTCAAGTGCTCCTGAACCACTTTCCCACTCGGCTGGTCACCTCTTCCAGTCAAGTCTCCTATTGGTTCAGCTCAAGTGCCCCTGAACCACTTTCCCACTCGGCTGGTCACCTCTTCCAGTCAAGTCTCCTTGTTGTCCAGCTAAGTTCCAAGCTATCTGAAAACCCTTGACAAGGCCCCACACTCGGGCACCGTAATGAGGTTACTGGGTTAAATTGCTGGGTTGATCGAAACGATCGAACTTGTAAAACAGTATGGGTATACTATTTAATTAATATAAAGGTTTGATCCAACTAATCTGGTTTCAAAGTCACTGTCTTTTTCGTTTTATGGTTTTTGTTCCTTTTTCTATTCTTTTTTGGTTTTTTGTTTCGCTTTTTGTCTTTTTGCTCTTGTTTTTGCCCCCTAGTTGCCCCCCTTACTCGGTTAGCTAAGCCTCGTTCGGAGAGCGTACCAGGAAGTTTTCTCGAGTTTTCTTAAAAAGCTATAACGGTACAACCGGAAGGTTTGCACGTTCCCGCCGAACCGTACCACCGGTACTCTAGAATGGGCATGCCGCCCGGAGCTGTCTCAAGTGGGTTCGACTCCGTAGTCTTGATGTCGTAAACACCCAGGAGCGCCATAAAAACACTATGTAACATTCGTATACTGCAGTCACACATGAGGCTTAAGAAAAATAAGCCCTATAACCATTGGCTTAAGAGTCAGGGACACTATCTCTTGTGTTTTTCCACCTCAAATCAGTCGGAGCCAATTTGGTTCGCTTGTGACATGAGACTACGACCCGTTACAGCTTAAGGCTACTACCAAATATCCCCCCACTCTAGAAATAAGAACGTCCCCATACCTAGGTCTCAAAATACCCAAAATACATGAACGCCGTTAAAAACCGGGTCGGAACAATCCGTTAAGTTACTTTTTATTAGACATTGGAACTTTGATCCATTTCAGATGGATCAACCTAAAACTCGCCCTACCTCAACATAATAATCACAAAACACACTCTAGAAATTTAAATTAGTACTCACATTGTAGCACGCTCAAGAACTGGGAGTAATCAAGTCGGTAATCAACTCGAGAATTAAATAATGTAACTAAAATGAGTTTAATGTTTGTCAGTTTTAACAACAAGAACAAGTTTGTACTCTAGACTATAGTTTCTCGTGAACCATTGGGACACTCAAGCTGTCCACCTTTCCACCGAAGGTTCACTCTAGTCCAGTTAAGAATAATACTCCAGTCAAGTCACAATAATCCAGTTCGTGGGAATACACTTGTCTCTGTTTCGAATGGGACAGCTCTACTCTAGACGGAAATTGCGAATAGCAATTTCTTACTGATTTTTCTTGCAACTTTCCCGCGATTGTTACTCGATTGTTCTGATTTCTCTTTTTCTACTTTCAGTTATCGCGAGAAAATCGTGCATGACAGGCTCCATTCGAATTTTTGAAATATGAATATTTTTGAAATGAGAAACTCGATAAGGCCACCTACAACGCTTTCTTCTCGTCTCTTCCCGATTCCCGCGAGCAAGCTCGTCTTCAGTCGCTCTCTCTGCCTTACGCCGGCGCTTGGCTTACCGCAGTCCCCATTAAAGGTCTTGGCCTGCACCTGCTACCTGCTGAGTTCCAAGCTGCTGAGTTCCAAGCCGCCTTGGTCTTCCTGTGTTCGCGTCTGCTCGTAGGTGCCCCGCGTGTCCGTCTGGCATTCTGGACGTCCTCGGGGACCACGCTGTCGCTTGTGGGGGGAGTGGTGGCCGGATCTCCCGTCACGACAGACTACGGGACATTATTTTCAAAGCTACCTCGGCTGCCTCTTTAGCCTCCATCAAGGAGCAACGGAACCTCATCCGTGGAGAACGGTCCAAACCCGGCGATATTTTTATCCCTACTTGGAGCGCTGGTCGCCCCGCTGCTTTCGACGTCACCGTGACATCCCCGCTGCAGTTATCTCTTCTCTCTCGTGCGGCGGAGACCCCCGGGGCGTCCCTGGAAGTTGCTGAGGACCGCAAATTTTCGAAACACGAGAAAAACTGTGAGGAACAAGGAATCAGTTTTTTCCCGTTAGCAGTCGAAACGCTCGGGGGTTGGTCCGCTTTAGCTATCAAAACCCTCAAGTCAGTTGCTATCCTCGCTGATGCCAGACGTTCTGGTTCACGTGACGCTCGTGTTGCCCCAGTTCGCCTTCTCCAGAGCCTCTCAGTGTGCCTCATGAGAGGAAACGCCACTATGATTGTCAGCCGGGCCATCTAGTCTTGTGCAGTTCATTACGTTTTTTGCATTCCCAATTCTGGTGCTCCTTTGTTCCTTTGCTGTTAGCGCATTCCCCCTCTCTTTTCAATCCTCAATGATTCATCCCACATTTGTTGTTTGTTTTGTATATGTAAGCAATTTTCACACCTATGGAAACTATCTCCTGATGAAGTGGCATTGAAAATCCGATGTACACACCCAGTTTTGAAAAATTAGATTTCACTTCAAAATTAAGCGCTCTGGTGTTTCTCAAGGTCAAACTTCCAAATATGACCGACTGGCACATCACTATACTTCCTCAGTTCGTTGTTTTTCGTCCGACTTTTCTGTATCTCAGAATATTGTTGTTCTGTCTATTCGCAGCTTTCAGTTGTCGCTAAAAATAAAATCGTTTCGTGTCTTTCACGCCCAAATCGAAAACTTAAAATTTAACATGTCACACCAAATTGACCAATCCTAATCCGTCAAACTGAACGATTAACACCGTTAATGCGCAAAAACCGCCAAATTTTTCGTACAGCTGTCATAATAAAATTTCGAATTCGAACTGCATTTTGATACATTCTGGTCGAATGTGACACTGAGGATACTGAGACCCAGCAAGGAGCTCACTATTTTGCAGGTAACTAAGTTAATCTGAGCGTTCTGGCCGATAGCACAAAATAGTAATGACTTTGTCGACTCGATGTTAATGGACCAAACATAGAACTGGCTTTGATATACACGGTTAAAAGCATATGAAGCTGTGTTTAGACGCTAGCCAGTCGTTTCATAACCTAGCTTATTGTCGTCGGTATGTACTACCGGGCGAATGTTACAGCACTCCGTTCTCAGGTACCCTAAACTGCAAAAAAATGGTACTATATCGGTATCTAGGCATTTTCTCAGAAATTTTTAGGCCATTTTGGCTTTTGTCAGTTTTATTCAAGTATTTTGTATAATTCAATACAGTTTTCCTCAAAAGTTTTTTTTCTGAAAATTAATCTCAGGAATGTAGTTGGTAAATACACTACGTTCATCGCTCTGCTGGCCACAAGACTAAACATCGAATGACTGACTTCCAGTAATGACCAGTAATGGAAATTGCTATTTTATAAGCCCCGTGCTTTTTTATTTTTCAGGTATCTGTTTGTTTTTGCGTCTCCGTTATTGAAAAAAAATGACTGTCGAAATGCTGCCTTCGAAATTGTCCGGCAAAATGGAAAAGTAAATTATGAAAATTTATAAGGTGATTTATCTCATTTCTTCGTATGTGTGAACTTTATGAGTAGTTGAATTCAGATTTTCTATAGGTCATTCGCGTATGAGACTCTGAGATTGCGCCTTCCAGACATAATCACCAAGATAATCGACCATGTACACAGGTCCTGGAGCGGTTTCGACAAGGTATGTATAACTCAGATATCGAGATCTAATTTTCGCATATGAAAAACGACCGCGTCTTAGTTCGTCAAACCGCAATTGATATAGCGAGACAGGCTTTTCCTGATCTATCAGAGGACGATATTTCAATTATTGCATTTGATCAATTTTAATTTATGGGATCGAAAAAAATGAAGGCACAGGGAGGGTAAGATCATTCGTGAAGACTGCAAGGAAAAGGAAAAGATATAAGAGACTTCAGTTTCAGATGATGTAACTATAAATTAAAAACATGACAGAAATTCTGGCTTAGAAGAAGTTGAAATATTTTAGCTGCGTTTCAGCTTCGAGAAGTTCTATCATTACAAAAGATGTTTGTAACATTCGCCCAAATATCACACAGCGACGGAGCGTAGAAAAAGTACCTATCAACGACTGGCAGGCGTCAGTTACCTTAATTCTACTCGTTTTTCACCGTCTCGACCTTGCCAGTTAATTTTCTGGTCTGTTTAGGGCAAAGTAAAAAGTTACCATTTTTAGGCCATCAGTCAAACGACTTTTGATCAGCTTTCGTTTGCATGCGAACACAACCACATAGCTGAGTCTCGGATCCTCAGACCACGTGATTGTCATTAAAAACACGGCTCGAACCACCTATTTCTATATGTTTTTGTGTGACAGTTTTATATTAAATCCATTGGAGATGGATTGACCCTTTCCTTTTTCTATCTGCTCATGCTCTGAAATATTAAATAATAACGGTGTTAATTCAGATCTAGGACATTACAGCAGCTGTTATAGTCAGTTTACACAGTCCCTTCACATATAACAGTCTCTGGGGGACCAAGCCTCCGCTCCCGTGATTTTCTTGAGATAACACTCTTATCTCCTATATCTCGTGTCCCGGGAGGGTTCCGTGGTATTTCTCTTCCCCCCAACGAAGCCTCCGTCTCCACAAATATCTGTCGCTAAGGTCCTTATCGTGTGTTTTTGCCACGATAAGAGGCTCCGTGTTTTTTTGTCTCTGATACAACTGTTCTTCACAATTTCTATCGTTGTTCTGATTTTCGTCTTTTTTATTCAAAATGGCCGTCTTTTTTCTATTTCTCAGAAATGTTCTTCTTCCGATCGAAATTTTAAAAATAAAAATTCTAGAATATTCTGACCCTCCGTCGCAACACTCTTTGTTCATAAGGCCTTTAGTCGCTTTTTTTCTGTCGCGGGAAGGTTATGCTGTGTCATCTGGCAGAATGGCACATACTCCCCGGACAAGTCTCCATCAATGTCCCTATTGATCGCACAACACCGGGTTATCGTCAAGTAGGTATCCAGCTTTCTGTAACCAATCTTACAAATCGCATAAGAAAATGAAATTTATCTACTCCACTTCAACTCACTACATGTTCACAAATGGCATCGTACTACATCTCACTGCCTTTCAACATTTTCACAAAATTTGCACCATGAGGAGTGTCCTAGATAAAATTTCTTTTCTGACTACTTACGTCGTCTTGTTATAAAACTTCTTTTCGCTCTTTGTGATTAAAAAGTGGGACGTGGCACGGCCACGCACCCGTTAAAATTAACTTAACTTCACTCACCAAGTATAATTAGTCATTTATGCGGTCCTTTCAATATTAAAACTAAGAAACTCTGTGGCTAGGAAAGTTATTGAGTTACCCACCCTTCTCGAGCGAATTTACTCAAACTTACCATGTCGCCACACAGTGAATTTGTGTCTTACACAGGTTAAAAACTTCAGTCGGGAATAAATAGGTAAATATACTCACCTATGCTCCTTATATACATACATAGATAGTAGTAACTAAAATCAACAATTTCAACAATTTTAACAATTGCAACAATTTTCAAAGTTTGGTCTGACCAAACTAAATCAAAACAAAAAGTTTCACAAGTTCAATAATCAAAACTTGGTTGATTTGTTCAAGTTTTTACACACAAAGACAATCAAGTTTTTTCTCCTTCTCTTCTCTCCTTCGGTCATCTTCATTCCATCATTTCTCCATCCTGATGTTCAGCGTCACTGTCTTCCAGAACTTTCTCTAACATGTCCAGAGAGTTGCGGGCCGTGCCCCAACCCTCCTGTTCCAACAGCCTCGGTTTGCAACAAGGTAGCAAGTCCACATTCACTTTCTGCTCCCGGTTCCTGCAAAAGCTGTTGTGAAGACACAGGCTCACGTTTCGTTCTAGGTCAGCTCTTAAGACCTCTTTCTTCTCATCTTCAGTAACACAAGGCGTTCCAGCTACCCGCTTCACCGCTGTGGTGACCGCGTTTCTGTGCGTCAAGAATGCTCGCTTATAGGCTCCTGGTCCTATATCCAGCTGGAAAGATTGATAGGCTTCCGTATTCCTTGACATGTGACGCTTCGCGCGTTCATACATCCAAGATGTCATCACTGCACGGAACCAAGGCATCAATCTTTGCCTTGACCATATTCTTTCAATGGCTTTAGGTATTCTCAGAACCTTGCAGGTGGTTCTGAAAAGATCCAATTCACAACTCATTTTAACGTTGCTCAACTGTTCAGGAGTCGGCACGGCCGTCTCCTGCTCACTTGTGTCCGCGTTAGCCTCCAACCATCTCACTGCTAGCATGGCGCTAACCACCACGATTGACACTTGTTGATTCTGATCGGGCAACCCCGTGGAGTACAACTCCTCCACGTCCCAGACTAGGATCAGATTCCCGCGTTTAGGGTACCACAACGTCTGCGCCAAGCAGTGGCAAGGATACTCCCCATGGGTTCTCACTATGTTCCTTCGGGTCCGATACCCTGAGGCTCCCAGCAACGGTTCCACTTCCATCAGAATTCTATGTAGGTCGTCTTTCTCTTCTATGGTGGGGAATTCAGTAGGTAACGCTCCACTCGCTTTCTGTTTCTCGAACTCACTCACGTTTCCTTCGTTCAGTCTCATGAACTCTTCACCCACAACGTCTTGCAACTCGCCTTCGGATCTCTTCGGGACTGCCCGAAAGATCTTTGCCAACAAGTCATATGACCTTTCTGACATTCTGGCCAACCTCACGCACTTTGGCACAGAGAAAAGTTGGTCAACCAACACTTGTTGCGTCCTCGCATCCATCACCACCATGTGCGTAGGATACTTGCTATTACAATACGGCGCTGAGCTTGAACCCACCATGTATTTTGAACCAGTAGGTCTGTGATAGGCTTCACTATCCTTCAGATTCATTTCATTCTCTAGGGCTTCTCGCCAGCCTCCAATCTTTTGTTCTGTCTGTAATGCTCCAGGGAATACTTCCACGCTGAGGGACGTCACTAGCTCATGGGCACGCTCCAAGCGCTCGAGCGATTCTATCGAACTCGTCATGCTGCAAAATCCCAAGGCTGTGATCAGGTTTACGTCCGTCACTCCATGGCAGTCTGCGACCAAATCCATGGCACTCTTATCTGACATGCTCAATCTTCCATACAATCGTGCCAGTTGTCGATGCTGCTCGCTTAGCGTAATCAGGCAGTGTCCCATGTTACAAACATGTCCTTCCATCCCACTGTGTTGAGCCAAGCATGTTCCTTGCTTCAACCAATTACTCGATGTACCTTCCTCGGACAGCTCCGTGGACGGGTTGCTCTTCTTCTTCGTCAATCTCATGGCCAGCAGGTGTTGTATCATGGCCAGATCATGTAGACTCGCATCATCATCCCGGTCTAACATGATATCCGCGGTCATGTCCCAGATTAAGCCTGCGTTAGGATGGGGACACCAGGAAGGTTTCATGAGTTCCCACATCACTACTAGACTGGTTTTCAAGGGACCGTCCCAAGAACCATAATCAAAACTCACTTGCCCTTTTAGCTCGGGAATCGAGGGCTCGACTACTCGTTCTTCCAAAATAATTCCAAGCTTGGGTTGTTCCACCATCAACATTCCAATTTCCTTAATCCGTTCAACCCAGAAGTTGAGCACTGTGACTTGCTCGTAGTCGAAGTATGCTTCCCTGGCTTCTTCGTTCACGAAGGGATTATACGCCATCCCCGGTATGCCAGACACGTATTGGAACGACTTCAGTTTCCCTAGTGTTGCAAACTCCTTTTGTCCTCTGGCCGCTTCAATCAAGTCTCTGCTCACTCTCAATTCTTTGTTGGAGTATCTTCTCACCTCTTCCAACTTGCGATAGCTTTCCATATCATTCGACTCCTTGCTTGGCACGGTCAATGGCATGTCCTGATATAGCTCTAGGAGTGCCCTAAGGAAATTCCTTTCGCAATCAACTCCCTTTTGCCGAATGATCTTTATACATTCTCCCAACACAGGAGTGGGGATGCGATCCACCACGAACCTGACAAAGCAAAGGGCATCCTTACGCTTAGCCCATGCTATCGCTGAATCGTCTTTCGAAATCAATGCTCGTAGAGCTTCCATTAGCTCTAGCTCCTGTTCTCGTGATTTCGAGTCATTACTGGCTTCATACTCCGCCTTTTTGATGCCCATCAAGCACCAAGCCAGTCGTACTTGCAGATCAGTTCTCACGCAAGGATGAGCCAGGTATGCTGATACCGTCGCAGGTGCATTCATCGTCTCATCGAAGTATTTCTGGAGGGCCGCCCTCCAAGAAATCTCTAGCAGTTTTTCCAATCCAATTTCGTTCGCTTCTGATGACATTACTGTGCCATACTCTCTTCGATTGAAGTTAGAGTTCTCCGTAAGCCCTTTCAGATATTCTTGCATGGCCCGCTTTTCACTCCAAGCCATCAGGTGCCCTCTCGCGGAGTTCCTCGCTTTCAACATCTCCACATAACCCCCTGCCGGATCTCCCATGTGGACCGATTCCGGTACAGTTATTCGACTGTACTCGACCACGTCGAGTTGTCCTTCCAGTTTCAACTTGGCCATGTTGATTCGCGAGGGCCTGTAATCTTCGAGTCCTCCAGATCCACATTGACTGATTACTTCCATTTCTAACTTAGTGTCTGCCAGGGTTCGCGCCGTCTTCGATCTAGTGGCGGTTACGGTCAGACCTGCCAAGAGCATAGGGGGTA